ATGTCCCTGGCGAAACCAGCACGTACAGAACTACACCTAGCGCCTGGCTAAGTGTAGTTCTGAACGTGCTGGATGTCTCGAACGGGGCGAGCACGTATAGACCGGCACCTAGCGAAAGTGGCAGGGTACAGGTCGGGGGCGTCGCCGCGCCTCCCCGCAGAGTCAGGAGGGCAGGGGCCACTGAAATCCCAGCCGCCCTCAGCGGCGGAGGCTGGACGTCCCAGGGACGCCCGAAAGGGACCCAACTGCGGCCAAGGGCACGCAACGAGGTCCCTGGGGGCCCCAAGAGCGCTCCACGACCTCCAGCCGCAATCTGAGGTCGTAGCGTCTTGGGGGTCTCCTGGAGCGCTTGGCGGGGTCTTGGATTCTTCCTGGGGCGCTCGGGAGGTCCCAGGAGCGCACCTGCTCGCCACGACATCTGGTCTCGATCTGGAGGTCGTGGCGTCTGGGGCCCCCGTGGGCCGTTTTGGGGGCACTGGGGGTTCCTCCTGTAGCCCATCATGGGTCCCACGAGCGCTGGTGGTCGCTACGACCTCTGACCTTGTTCTGGATCCCTCCATCCTCTTTGCCCCCCCCCGTGATCAGGGCAACTCGCCTGGTGACGATGTTTCGAGGATTTTAAAAGATATGCGCGCTCCGCCTCCGCCTCCTGATCGCGAGTTGTTATTTCTGATTCCACGCCGACTCGGGCTAGCGACGTCGAGGCCCTCGCAAATCCGACAAACGCGATGACGCCCCTCGAATGGCGGGCAAAACAAACTTTGGAACGATAGCCCAAAATTAATTTTGAAATTTCGGGATCCGCGAGAGAAACTAATCCACTCGCCCAAAGTGTAGCTCTCTATCTGTCCGATCTGGCCCGAGCTGGTCACAAGGGAAACAGACGCGGTGGTGGCCCCCCCCCCCGCAAAATACAGTGCCTCGCCCACCCAGTGGCCGGAGACGAGGCCGTCGTGGTGGGGGCGCCTCCCAGGGGTACAGTGCCTCGCCCCACCATGTACAGCGTCCGCGTCCGAGGCGGGCTCTGGTGGGAGCACCCCCCGAACGTACAGTTCCACGCTCGCTTTGTGCAGGAAGGCGCTGGGAGAACAGGGGTCCCTGGTTCTCAGATAGCCAGTCCCCTGAATCCCAAACTGACACTCGTCCTAAAATGAATACCTCCAAGAGTCCTGGACCACGTGTAGAGCCTACCGAAGTCGCTGGGGTAGTCTTCTTTAGGCGGCCCGACGCAAGCCTTCCCGAGGTTACGGGCCTGCCTTTAGTGGTGTAGTGCTTGCAGCTCAAACACATGACAAGGAGGCCCTCCCCATCATTGAACTGAAAGGCCATTTGGTTGTCCCAGTCGTTCGCACGCCAGTGAGACCCTTGATGGACGGGGAGCCACGACAGACACCACCAAAGGGCGCGAGATGCTACGAGAAGCCTTCCAACAATTAGAACACAACCAACAACGCCTTTCCCAATGCCACTCGTGACGGGACCATGGAAGCTTTGTGGGGGCTGGCGGAGGCTTCAGCCATGGAACGTCAGTGAGGTCAAGTCTAGGTGAAAGCGGCATGACCTCCGCCGCCAAAGTACAAGCCTCGCGACAAGCGGTTGCCTTAAACCAGGATTCGACTCAGCTTCTGATGGCTGGGGGTGGCGGAGCACAGCACGACGGGCGGAAGCATCGGCCAGATCATTTCCTAGCTTTTGAAACTTCTCTTCGCCTGTTAAATCAGGCCTCTCCCTCTGATGACCCTTAACTTTGAGAATGTCTCCACGCGCCTGACCCAACGTTTGGAGCGTGAATCCAGCATAGGGGCGACGATAGGACAGTTGGGTCGTGAAGAGTTCAAGGCCCTGGCGAACAACATTCAAACAATCAGGGTCGATCGGGAACCCTTCGATTCTACATTGGGCAGCCGAGCAGCAGGCCGCAAACTCGGCAGCTTGGGGCGTCAGGGGAGGATGACTAAGCAACGGCCCCAAAATGGTAGCAAGATGGATTCCCCGATCGCCTACAAGGACCACAGACCACCCTGCCCTGGAGAGTTCTGGAGACACCTCCTTGGCACAATAGCCATCCACGAATAGTGCTCCTTGAGGTCTGTGAGGTCACACTGATGGTCATCCTGCCATTCGATCACCAATCCACTATTAGGTAAATCAGCAGTAGGCCTGGGGAGAGAATCGGCGGGATGTTCAGATATGCCCTTGGCAAAGAGGACACATTCACTGGGGTTCGACTCCACAATGAGGTCCTCTGGTGACTGGAGGTTGTGGTGTTTCCCCGGGCACTCGGCTCTCTCATGATCAACTGCAGGGCAGAAACAGAACCGTTGTAAAATCGTGTAGGATGAGGAGGAGAAGGAGGAGAAGGATGAGGAGGAGGAGGAAGAGGATGAGGAGGAGGAGGATGAGGAGGAGGATCAGCGGAGGAGGATGATCACTGGCCATCTCTCCCACGTCCATGTCCCGTACATTTTTCGGTTTGGTGCGTTTTTTTTTCGCAAGATGG